GCTGAGTTGGATCTGAGCAGTGCAAATGTGTCTTTAGCATCTTTTCCACCACCTTCCTGGGCTCTTCGTCTCATGTGCTAGAATACGCCTGTTCAACTTGCAGCCTGTGGGCCACCCGCCCCTGATCCATGGGCTCCTGGTCCAGGTGCTGCTCTTCTTCTCATTCTCTTGCTGTAGCCTCTCTTTCCTCTCTGCAGGGGAAAGAACTGCCTAGTAGCAAGGGCAAGATTTCTTTTCTGCCCATCCAAAGACTGAATATAGTCTGTAAACTACATATTCTCCTAATGAGCAGCCATTAAACTAAACCATGAAGACTGACAAGTGGCACCCTCTTCCTCTGGGGTAAAAAAAGTGTTGTATATGTTTCCTAGCTATGATTGTACTACTAAACTCCCCACTCACCAAAAGAGGTCCAGACAAACTCCGTAAGGCTGAAGCCCCTCAAAGAAAATAAGGAAAATTCTTGATTTGCCTCTAATAGTCCAAAAACCTATTCCACCTTTTAAAAGAAGAAGGTTTTAGAAGTCTTTATTAAGAGACCTCCTTGAAGCTCATTATAACAGCTGAGGAGGATGGTTATGAAGCACATAAAGCCGGCACAAGAGCTCATTAAAACAATAAATTATGACTAATTGGAATAAATCATGCTAAATCATCTCCAGCATGAAGGTAAAATGAGGTGTGAGTGAGTGTTTTAATAAGGCTGGTGCTAAAGTGAAGCCTGAATGAGACAGCTAGTTCTAACCAGCGACCACTCAGATCATACTACCTGTAGTTTGTACCATGCTAGAATATAGACACATAGCAAGGTAACAGTAAATCAGAGATAATGGGTTTTTTAATTGTTTCCAAATCTGAGCTAGGTGTCTTTAATTGAAGTGGGTGTGAGGTTTACATAGCATCTGTACTTGATTATCTGGCTCAGAGGGAATAGGTGGCAGACTGAGGTGTTGGGTTTTGCTTCTTTTTAATTTGCAATGCACAAGGTGAATTTTGGTCTGTCATATTGCTTTATTATACACAGTGGAAGCAAAATGATTTCTGTGCATAATTAGTAGTGAAATCATTGCTTCTGAAATTGATTTGAAGCTTTCTCCCTCTCCTCCCAGAAAGTTTCAGTGTAAGGGGTAGAAGTCAGTGTAACAAACAGTTGAGTGTTGTATGTCCCATCTGTGGCCAATTCCCCAGAGAATAAGCATCAGGTACAGACACCGCCACAGGCTAAAACTGTATCAACTCATGCATTTAGCTCTGAAACCACCCACTTACAGTTTCCAATGTGAGGGCCAAGACGGTGTCCGTTGCACGTGTGCATGTTCTAAAGCTCAGTTTGGTCATAGGCCTCATGACACGTATATTGGTTGGTGCCTTTTGCTCTCAGACCATTATAATGGCCCTCATCAAACTTCCACACTTGCTCCATCTCCAAGTTTTCTCTTTCCTACACTCTTCCTCCCTACCTCTATCTACTTGCTTCCCAGTCTCTCTCTTTTGCCATACAACTATACCATGTACACCTACCAGACAGACCCCTGCTACATCCCCTTAGGGGCATAGTTTGGAAGATGCTGAGTATTGTCAACTCTGAGGGTTTTCAGGAGGAATTAGAGGGTGGTAGAACACTGTATTGGAACCTTATGCTCTGTCTTGTGGACAAGGACAGTCTTTGGTAGCTTGTGCCATGGGAGGCTCTAGTCCAGGGGTCAGCAATGTTTTTGGGCAGGTTGCCAAAAAACACCCACAACCTCGACTTGTAAGATGTCAGAGTGTCAAGGGTGGATAGCAGGGAAGCCATGAGGGGCCTAATCCTTATTGTGGCAGCACAGCCCTGGCCCCCTCCCCATCGTGCACCCCAAGGCACGTATGCCAAGCAAAATACCTTTGCATGCCACATTCTGTCCCTCATGCCAAGAGTTGTCTACCCCTACCCTAGTCCCTGTACACTGCCCCCCTTGCAGGCCATGACAAGCGAATGTATTCAGAGGTCAGGTTAGAGAAGTGCTACTTGTATGTGTCACTAATGGTGATTCTGATATGGTTACATTGCTTTCAAGCAGCTTTCAGGAGGCTTTTTATGAACTGGAGCTACCCCTAGATGTGTTCTAATTTTTGGGGGCCACAACAGCCAGCCAAATGTGAGCTAGGAAAAGCTAGAAAGCCCCATCTCCTGAGCTATGCCCCCTTATGCCAAGGGTATGTCAAAGAATTAAACCCTATGGGTGCCTATACACATGCTGTGATGCGTTCTGATTAGACCAGGTCAGAGCAGACCCAATTACCTGCATCTGCTGGCGTGTTCTGATTAGAGCTCTGCAGGGTGCTGCAGGGTCTTGTGTATTCAGTGTCCCACATTTCAAAGAGGTGGCAGGGGTGCCTGTACTAAAGCTTGTCAAATGAGCTTTAGTTAAAGTGCACCCACCGCCATTTTGAAACGTGGAACACTGAATACATGAGATGCTGCAGCATTTTAATTTCAGTGGCTCCTGAAAGCCGCTATAGTTAAAAAGCCCCGTCACACTCCCCCCCGCCCGTCACCCCAAAACATGTGTATAGGCACCCCCAAAGAATAGGCTATGGCATTTCTGGACTCTGCAAGGTGTATATTTTCACACAGTGGCTCTCCTCCCAGAGCTCTGGGACTTTTGAAATGCCCCTTTCTGGGACTAGGCAATCTCCATGTAAAGTTACTCCCAGGTTGATAACTCTTATCTCTGCCAGAACCAAAGTTTGCCAAAGTTTTCTTGTGCTTCAGCATTAGAAAGGAGTTGAATGTCTGAAATGTTCAGGTTCATTTTTTGCTCTTTTCTTTCCCCTTTGCTGCTAGTGGCTTGTCACCAGAACTTGAAGATGGAGTTTCTTTGCATTATAGCTCAGATTTATTTGTAAGAGTTAGAGAGCTTTTTCTTTTTGGGGGGGAAATGATTTCTGCTTGCAATTCTTACTCTAAAATTCACATTAGATTGACAGCTCAGCCCATCCATTTGTAGTTAAAACAAACAAGAAAACATATGATGGAGTGCAAGAAGGCTGAACTAGCATCACCTTCATGCAGAACAAAGCTTACAGTTGATGAGTCATCAAGGGTAGAAATCTACCTTCCCCATACTACATTAAACACCAATATATGACACACTTAATTCAAAGATACTTCAAATTGTCACTGCACCTTGTTTCTCCCTGAGCAGAGAAAGCTGCTTCTGGGTTGTTTGTTCTTGCCTATCCCTCCGTTGAAAGCACCTGCCAAGGTATCCAGCAGAGTATCTTTTTCATCATGCTTTCCAAAGAGCACATTGGACACAAACACTTTATGGCTGCCTGTTAGGATGCAATTGCAGAGTGTGTTCATCACATAGCAACGGATTTTACTGACTTGTTAATAGCCTCGTACACTGAGACAGATGTCTAATAGGTAGAACTGGGGACTGTTTTTGGAGGCCTGGATTCTGTTTGGAATTCTAAGGCTGACTTCTTAGGCAAGTTTCCTGCTTTACGCATTAGAGGTGTGTATAGAAGTGGGTTTTTTCATCATTAAAAGTGCTGTGACTTAACAAAAGTGCATGTCTTTACAGCACTTTAAAAATGGGGACAGTGCATTAGCACCTTACAGCGCTTTAAATAACTTCTGTACGCTGGTCAGGTTTCTGGTGATTTCACCAGTATCCCATAGGCTTTGTGAGCTGCTGTCAGGCCCCGTGGCAGATGGGGAGGGCTCAGTGAAAGGGACATGCTGAGGGCAAAAGGGCAGCACACACATGCACACCGTCATGCATGCACGCACATACACATGTGCACATGCACACATACGCATGCATGCCCACATATGTGCACACCTGTGCACACACACATGCACACACGCTGAGATCCTGCATAGAGCCAGGCTGTCAGTGTGGATGAGAGCTGCCTTTTACACTGACCTGCTGCTGTCCGCAGTCTCCTGCAGCTCTGGGAGGCTGCAGAGCACCCCCTGCCTCCTAGCCTGGAAAGTGCAGCGAGGCTCAGAGCACTCCCCAGCCCCCCACACACACCCCCGCCCCATGCCCCCAAACACTACACTTCTGTCTTGTCTAAGAGTGCTGTAACTGTATAGTGCTATTAAAAAGTGCTCTAAATTACAGCACTGTAAAACATACACAGAGCACTTCTGTATGCACCTTAGTTTCCCTACCTGTACTTTTACTTTGAGATGACAGGTGCTACATACAGCAATAGAATAGTTTAATAAAAAGGGGAAGAACAGCACAAGGCAAGAAAACGTATATTTCAATATGATGATTGGAGGGCCTATGAAAAGAAAGAAATCAAAAGGCTTCCTATCTTCCCATAGAATGTTTAGTATGAACCACATTTTACAAATCAGGAGCTAGACCACGGCAATGCGCTAAACCAGTGTAGGGTTAGACATAGCTTCTGAGCAGTACATTGGGAGTGATACCACACCCTCTCACTAAGCAGAAATACTGTTTCGTTATGCATTCAACAAAGAAAGGGTACCAGTAACTATTCCTTTTGAAATGTATTCATTTCATTAAGTTGAAATGATTAGCACTCTGCCTCGATAATGCTGCATAATTGGCTTGATTTTTATTATTCTCTTGTAAACAGCAATGTATATAATTAATAACTTTAAACCATCTTACTTTCATTGTTGCTAATCGCATTCAAGCCGTCTTATGCTTAAGTCCAATTAGCTGCAAATAAAGGGAATCTACATCTGTGAAGAATCCTTTGTGCACTGGGAGGAAAAAGTTGTGCCTAGATCTCACTGGGGCTGTGACAGAATCTGGGAAGCACCAACTGACAGCTGACATCCACCTCCTAGCCTTGGCTTGTCTCTAGAAAAAGGAACCAGAAAATAGGCACAGCATCATGCAGTAAGGCAGGGGGTGGGGGGGGGCTGCTTTAGGTGTCCCTGGTGTAACTCTAGGGGCCAAATACATTACTTTGAATCTCAGTAAAAAGCTAAGCAAATAAGCTGCCAGGGTTCATCTGAATACTGCTCAATGCTGTAATTCTGAAATAGCATGAGAAATTTCTTTCCAGTATTAATTACCCAGATAAGGTCCTCCATCTGCTCTAAGCTTTTCTTCCACTGAATCATAGAATCATAGAAAATTATGGTTGGAAGGGACCTCAGGAAGTCATCTAGTCCAGCACCCTGCTCAAAGCAGGACCATCCCCAACTAGATCATTCCTGCCAGGTCTTAAAAACCTCCAAGGATGGAGATTCCACCACCTCTCTAGATAACCTGTTCCAGTGCTTCACCACCCTCCTAATGAGAGAGTTTTTTCTAATATACAATATCCAAGCTAAACCCCCCTTGTTTGCTCCTTGTTGTGTCATCTGCCACCACTGAGAACAATCTAGCTCCATCCTCTCACCCTTCGGCTGATTAAAGGCTGCTATCAAATCTCCCTGTCTTCTCTTCTGCAGACTAAATAAGCCCAGTTCCCCCAGCCTCTCCTCACAAATCATGTGTCCCAGTCTCCAAACCATTTTCATTGCTTTCTGCTGGACTCCTCCAGCTTGTCCACATCCTTTCTATAGTGGGGGGCCAAGACTGGAAATGGTACTCCAGATGTGACCTCACCAGTGCTGAATAGAGCAGAATAAATACTTCCCTCCATCTGCTGGCAGGGCTCCTACTAATGAAGCCCAGTATGCTGTTAGTCTTCTTTGCAATAAGGGCACACTGTTGACTCATATCCAGCTTATTGTCCACTGTAACCCCCAGGTCCTTTTCCGCAGAGCTGCTGCTTAGCCAGTTGGTCCCAAGCTTTCAGCGGTCCATGGGACTCTTCCATCCTAAGTACAGGACTTAGTACTTGTCCTTGTTGAACCTCATCAGATTTCTTTTGGCCCAATCCTCCAATTTGTCTAGGTGAGGAGTTTTCAACCTTTTTAAACAAGTGTATCCCTTCTGCCTCAAGTGTCAGCTTATGTACCCCTTTATATTTTTCTCTTGTTTTTAAGCAGGGGAGGGCAGATTGAGGCCCCTGTGGTGAGGGAGGGAGTGGAGCTGGGGCTAGGGCAGGGGCAGGGGCAGGGGTAGGCACAGCACAGCTGGGGTGGAGTATGGGACAGAGCCACAAGAGCAGCTTGCCTGGGGGGGTTGGGAGGCAGCTCCCATCACTGCACAAACCCCAGCGGAGGCCCAGGGGCCATGTGCCCCCCAGATCTGTGTGCAGGGTGGAGGCAGCTGCTGCTGCTGGAGGCTGGACTCTGCACCGCAATGCTGCTGCCCCAAGAGCTGCACAATGCCATATGCCTATTGCTGCCAGGCAGGCAGGGGACAGACACATACACACACAAAGATGCAGACACACACGCAGATGCATGCACACCCACACACACAGATGCAGAAATACAGACAGACACCACCCCCCAGGGGTAAGTGGGGGGGCGCAGATCGAGAATGGGGGGGTGGGAGTGTGTATCTGTGCCTGTTCCTAGGACCAAGGCCAGGGGGGACAAGGGCAGCAATGCCCCTCTGTGGGCTGCGCACACACCGCCCAGATGGCTGGACGTTGGGGGCTCGAATGTGGCACCCGCCACCACCACCATCACTGCCCCAGGCCACTTTCTCATAGTCGGTCACCCATTCAGCTCTGTAGGCTGCTGACAGGCCTTGCACCCAGCCAATCACATGTCTCCTGTCACCAGCCCATGGAGCTGCACATGCAACCTGCTGTGAGAAAGCGGCACAGGGCAGTGATGGTGGTGGCAGCAGCTGCCATGTTTGAGCCCCAGGCTGTCTGGCCACCCAGGCAGCATGTGTGCAGCTCACAGAGGGGCACCACTGTCCTCGCCCCCCTAGCCCTGCTCCTGGGAGCAGGCATGGAGAGCAAGCTGGGGTGGGGGTGGTGAGGCACTGCGGTGTACCGTGTGGGGCCAGCAGTGCCCAGCATGCCCCTCCCCCAGGTAAGAAGCAAAGTATGGGAATGTGCCAGGGGAGATGCTGCCGCAGTGCCCTGAGGCGCACTCCATCCCCGCCTGTGCATACCCCCTACAGCCTTTCTAAGTACTCCCTGGTCTAGGTCACTGTGGGCATATTTACATGAGATACTTTATTTGAGATTAGAGCTAATTACTGAGCAGTAAGTGTCACCATCTACATGTGCAGATGCTTATTGCACATGAATTTGCTCTAATCCCGAGGAAATTTTCTACCTGTAAATACAGGTAGCAAATTTACTCTAGATTATCAGTAGCACATGTGTAGACAGCTGACTGGGAGCAAATGCTCCCAGTCAGCCAGGCAGCAGGGAGTGGGAGATTATTCCCTGCTGCTGGGGTGGACTACGCCACCAGAGCCCAGGTGGGGGCTATGTCCCCCTGCCCTGGAAGCAGGGAGCTCTCAGCCCATTTCATGATTGGTGAGCAGGGGCTGGGAGATCCTTATGTCCCAGCCCTATGGATAAGAATCAGCCCTTATAGATAAGAATCTCCCAGCCCCATGACTATGGGGCTCAGGCTGGGAGATAAGGATCTTCCAGCTCCAGCCCCCTGATTGGGGGGCTCAGGCTGAGAGATAAGTATCTCCCAGTCTGAGCCCCTCAACTGTGGGGCTCAGGCTGGGAGATAAGGATCTCTCAGCCCTGGCCCTACGATCACAGAGCAGGGGCTGGGAGCTCCCTGCTGCCAGGGCAGGGGGACATTGTTCCTGCCTGGGTGCTAGTGGCAGACTCCGCCCCAGCAGCAGGCAGCTCCTGGGGGCAGGGAGCAACGTCCCAGCCCCCAGCAAGAAACAGCTGTCTCCTGATCCTGTGCTCCCTGCTAGTACCCAAGGGGAGCTGCTGCAGGGGCCAGGTGCAGTCCTGCAGAGAGCAGAAGCAGTCTGCTGCTAGGAGCAGCAAATCTGCTCCTGCTTTCCTGCATGTGTAGGCTCATGCCCTGGAGAGCTTACTCTAGAGTACTTCAAAGTAAACTGCTTCCAAATTATTTTCACATGTAGAAACATCCTGTGAAACCTAGCCCTACTCTCCAGCATATCTACTATTCCTCCCAGCTTGATAGGACCAACCCCTGAGGTACTCCACTTGAGACCAGCTGCCATTGATCACTACCCATTGAGTCCAATGATCCAGCCAGCTTTCTATCCATCTTACAGTCCATTCATCCAACCCATACTTCCTCAGCTTGCTTGCAAGAATGCCATGGGAGACTGTACCAAAGGCCTTACTAAAATCAGGGTATATCATGTCCACTGGCTTTCGTTGCATCCACAGAGCCAGTTATCTCATCATAGAAGACACTCAGGTTGATCAATAGTATGGATTGGGTTACTTGTCTGGCAGCTGGGGGCCATATCCACAGTTTGCATGCCGTAGACTGATCCTCTTATTGAGATATCACTGGTGCTTTGGTTCCGGATTCAGTTCCTTCCACTTCCGCTATGACTGCACTGTAGTCCAGGGTGTGTGTATATGTGCAACTGGGAAATTTGTTTGCCCTCAAACATATACTTATTTGTATTTTCAACCTGCACTTGTTTGCATGGTTCAGGGTATGGGGTAAAGCCTCAGCTGTGTTTTTTCTTGGGGTGGAACCTACCACTTTTCAGAGAGAGGTTCAGCAATATTATACAACTGCTGATCATCCTTTAATGCCCATCCAAGAGACCCTCTCCAACAAAATAAACAGCTCTATGCGCATCTTGACAGGTTTATTCCCAGCCAAAGAAAGATGGGATACACCTCCAGTTACACATGGGTGACTGCAGAGCTGATAAGGATAAAGTAACTCAGGAAAGGGTTTGCTGTAGAGATACTGGCATTTGAGCCAGGCTAACCTGAGTTCTCAAACCTGCATGTTAATAGCCTGAACTATGTAGTGCAGACATAACCTCCGGATGACTACACAAATCACAGAAGACTGTGTTTTTTCAAAATAAATTGACTTCTATTTAATGATCAGATCTTGAAAAGAGCTCCCAAGTGGGAGCTGAGTTTAGTTCCTTTAGAAAATAGAGTCTAAAGTGCAGTATTTAAGGCCAAGTTTTTTAAGTGCTCAAATCTCGGTGCTTCATTAGTCCTAATGCAACACAGGGATGACACTGCTCCCTTATAATTGATTTACGTTATAAACAAAAGGCAACAGATTGCAGTCCACAGGGTCTGAGATCCTATGGTGAGTGAGAAGTTATAGATGCACAGGAGTCAAAATGTATGGAATAAATAGGAACAAGACTGAACAGCTCCCAAGATCTGCATTTCTGTCAGCATGTACGAGGCACTAGGCCCTCTGGAATCTTGATCCTCCTACAGACAGGACTGAATAAGCATTGGCAATAGTAAAAGTGTTAGAGGTGGGTATTATTTGCAGTTCAGAGCTGAGAAAAGATGAAGCATGTAGCAACTGCCCAAAGGTAAGCGGAATTGAGCTGATACAATTGTACTATTGGCCTCATGGCTGAATGCTCTTTGCAAATGAATAGTGTTTTTCCTTTCTTCACTTGGAATCATTCACATGCCTGGAGGTGCAAGTTAATGCTTTGCATCATGGGAGAATCAAATGACACAGCTCAGCCCATACAGAAGCTTTCCTACAATCCCAGCTTGGAAGCTAAATTGTCAGCAGCCTGAAAGACTTGCTCTCAAATAAAATTAAATCCTGTAGAGTTGTTTATGCAAGCTATTTTGGGGAGTTAAATAAGCCTTGCACTAAGTCTTTGGATGACATAGTTCCTCTTCCTTTAAACCTGCATTTCCATCTACTATTCTTAAGCTTTATTGGTTACTAACCTCCAGCACCCCTACCTCTCACTCTTCCAGCAGCTCTCTTTAAACACAAATTTTCCAGCAACTCCCCTTCTGTTTCTTTGCCAGTGGAGCCTAATAGCCTTCCTCTCCTGAACTATATCCCTTTGAGTAGGCTTGCACTGCAGTCAGTATTGTGACCAGGTAGTGGTAGACATACCCAAACTGGTTTTAGTTTAGCAGGGGCATCAGTAATAGTGTACCAGCTACAAAACCAAGGAGCAGCCAGGCTGTGGCTAACAGCCTGAGTGTGTATACCCTGCCTCTCACCATGGGCTAAAAAGCCCACCTGAGTTTTGCTGCCATGGAACATTTGTGCTGCTAACAACGCCTGCCCTAGCCTGAAGCTGACTTGGGTAGATCTCTGTGAGCTGCAGTCACTGAAATGCTTTTTGTGTTGGCTTTAAGTGAGACAAGGTAGACTTCGAGTGCTGAGTGCCATTATTCCCCTTGATGTCAGTAGGAACTGGGAGTGCTTGGCTCTTGAGCAAGTGGCACTCATCACCTCCCTAGACCAGGCTTATGTTCACAAACAACCAGGGAGATGAATGGTTTCTATTAATAATCCTGGCTGTTCCTATTATTCTAACACTCATGCTATCAATGGAAGAAGCCAGATGGGAAGGTCAATCTGTGGATGGATTTTACCGTTCTTTTCACCTAGGCCTGACGTTTCCATCTGACTTTAAACAGAGTGAGCATAGGCACTGTCTTTATAGACTATGGAACCTTTGCTTGTTAGAATGAAAGCAGAATGCTGGATGCAACCGGGCTGATTTGATTCTGAAAGCCCTTGCTTCTGTATGAGGAGTATTACTGGATGCCCTAGAAAATGGAGCTATTGCCTGCCCTGTCACTCCTTGCTCCCTATCAGCCAGGGAAGGAAAAATATGAGGAGTCCAAACCCCGCCCCCCCAAACTATTCTTAAATGTTGATGTTGCCCTTAAAAATGGCTAAACTTCATTGCCTTTGTCTCATTCCTCTCAACCAACCCCTCCCTCTGTCCTTCTTGCTCTTGCAATTTGATTAATCCATTAGGATTAATCTCTCTTTAACTCCTTGATTAGCTGCACTTTAAAACTCCATTTGTTTTCCTTTTACATCAAGCCAGAGCCAAAAAAGAGACCAATTTAGAGCTATACTGATTTACTGCAATTTCTGAAAATCAGCGCAAACGCTGGGAAGGCGTGATCAGCATTTCAATTCCACCTTGGCAATCTGCAAAACTCTTGCTTGAGCAACAGACAGCTTTGGAAACTACCAAAAAAGCATAAGATAGGAAACGATAGCAAGAGAACTCTAGTTGCTGTGGCGGCACAAATACCAACCACTGAGACTCATCCTGCATCCTTACTCATGCCAACAATAAAAATAACCAGCTTTTGATAAAAGTCAATCTCATTACCCCTATTTACAAGATGGTAAAACTGAGGCACAGAGGCTAAGTGATTTCCCCAAGGTAAAGCCAGAGGCAAGTCCCAGAGCCACACTGGATAAAGCTCCTAGATCCCCTGAGTCCTAGGACAGTGCACTATCCACTAGGCCATGCCACTTCTTTCATGGTAGAGGTATGTACTTGTTTGAACAGTGTCAGTGGCATTACTTGCAAGCCAGGCCTGCACCATCAGGGTGGTTTGGTTGATCAAATTCTGATTTATACTGTTGAGGCCCAGTCCTGGCTCAGACCCTTTCATTCCTTGTTGCAGAACATTTAATTCTATTAGAAAGTTAGTTCATTTTAATAGCAAATTGTTCTAATCCTGCCCAGAGAGCACTTACAACTGCTTTTGTTTTCCTCCACATGGATGCTATAAATGGTGAATGTGCCTATTAATATTTTAAAATAAGTTAACATATGACCAGTGTGGGGCTTTTAGCAACCTGTTGTCCCTGTGAATTCTGCTCCCCGACCCTGGCCATGTGGTCTTTGGAAAAGAAACTGCATGGAGAAGTTGGCCAGAGCCAGAAGCTGGCTGTGCCATCACAGAAAGCAGTTCAAACAGCTTGTGTGCTATATTAGGAGCTCTTTAGGGCAGGCTTTTTCTATGTGTAAACACAGAGCAATCGGTCCCTTTCTCAGTTGGCCCCTAAATGCCACCCTAATAAACATGATTGATAACAATTGTTTGTACCCTTGTTCCATATTGCACTCTGTCCAATAGTAGAGATGCTAAAAACCCACCCAAAGTGGGTCTGTACCACCCCCATTCACCATGGTGAAACATGCCCTGCCCACTTGCTTCTGCTCTCAGAGCCAGCTCCCAAAAATGAGGCGAAACTGCTGCCTCCGAGAGGTGCTGAACACTCACACAGCACCACACGTAGGCTCCTTTCTCAAGCATACTTACCGGCACGTGGTCAGGGCCGTTCTAAGGCAGTGATGTTGCCTCATTTCTGGGAGCTGGCACATACAGGGCACGAGCAAGTGGGTGGCATTTGCTTCACTAGTAAGCTGGTGTAGACATGCCCATACAAAAACAAAAATAAGGAACTGATGAGCAAACAGCAACGTGTTCTGTCAAACTGTCTGTGGGTGGTTTGAATAAAGTCCCTGTAACTAGAGGTTCTTGTCTTCTGTCAATAGTTTTATGAATTAACAACTGATGCAAACAGTGACCTCTAAATCTCAATGTAGGAAGGTAGCAAATGGGAAATGGGGGCACAGGGGCTAATGATGACTGGCCTGAGGTTGCACAATGATATTCAGAACTTCAGGGAGTGGAAGTTGGGTCTAATGACTCTGTCTTGCACACTTAGGATTGACCATGCTTGCTTTTCCTCTTCCCAACCTTTCCTCCCACCTAGATTTATTTTCTTTCTTTTTAAGCCATCGATCTAACCCTGAAATATTAGGGAAACTTGTGGATTTTTAATACCTTCCATCTTATGGCTGTTCAAACCCCCAAAATATTACTGAAGTAAAAGAAGATAATTAAAGTTTTCAAAGGCACTGAGCTCCTATAGCTCCAAATGAATCCAACAGGGCTTGCACCATTTCTAAAAGTTTCAAGGGAAACCTGAAAGCTTTGGTCTCTTCTAAGGTGTTCTGTTGTACCTGAGACCTTGAAGATAGCCCCTGTTGTTTTTAATTGTAATGTCTTTTGATCTGAAAGTGCTCACCTCCAGTTTGGTATCTCAGCTGCAACATGCAGCTGCAGAGCTGCCTGTTTAAGGGTAGTTGCTTTCCTAGGAAGAGTCCAAGGGTGAAGCAGAGAGATCCAAGCCAAGTGGAAGCAGGTGGGCCCCTTGCACATGCCAGGGCTGGATAATTGGAGAAAGCCTGCCTGAAGAAACAGCCCCATGTGAATGGTTCACAAGTGGTTTTGGTCTCTGTCCCCTCTGGGGCACTGGTGGTAAAAAGAATCAATGCCCTACCGTGGCAGTGGAACAGTTAAACATGCAGTGGGCCAAGTCACTGACAGCAGTACTGACAAGAACAGCAATTCCCTATTGATTTGGGGGTTGTTTTATTTAAACTGTGAAGCAGTTGATTACGGTTCATTTCATCTGATTAGTAAGGTATAGATTATTGCCTTGCTAAACTGGCTGTTCCAGAGCTCGAGTCTCAGTTTATTTATGCAATCATTAAATTTTAAGCCAATTAATACTTAACATTGACTGGCAACAATAACTACTCAATTTATTCTATGGTCAGCTCCTTTGGAAGTAAGTTAATATTTTTAAGTTCCAGGGGCTTGTGGTAGCAATTTATACAGTGCACTCTGCCTGTTTAGCACTTATTGGGTGTTAATGACTGCCTCGTGATGACAAAGCTAAATAGGTAAGAAAATTGCTGGTAGTGTGGGAGATGTGCCATTGTTTTGCATTTCCAGACTGTGGATGTATTTAGAGACTCCACGCAGGGATGTTAATTTTTTTTATTAGTAGGTAAGTTTCTCTGTGGTAAACACCAGCTTGTGCCAGCAGCCTGCCCCAGTTTCTGACAGGATTTGTAGCTGATTTCAGATCAGTTATCTCCTTCTCTTGCTCCAGAGATCCCAAATAAGAAACAGTAACTGGAGCTGGATGGAAACATTTAGAGGACATTTTTGTTTTGTTTTGTTTTGTTATAGTCAAGAAGTGTTGGCCTAACAAAACTGAAGCCTTTTATGGGAATGTACATTCCAGTTTTCACAAAGGTGGACTTTCTGATCCATTCACCCACCTCAACATAGCCACTAGCCCAGTGCATAAAGCACTTGTCTGGGATGTGGGAGGTAAGTCCCTCTGACCTGTATGGAGCAAGGGCTTGAACTTGGGGGTGTAATGTGCTCTGGCCACTGGGCTATTAGTTAAGCTGCAGTAGGTGAAGGTGTCTCTCTCTCTCATTTCTTTTTTTCATTTTAGAAAGTCTTGGCATCAAGCTGCTATGGCACAAGAACATTTTCAAACTCTTTGTGGGACAGGAAAATGGTTTTCTGCTCAGCTTAATAATAACACTTGGCATTTCTGTCATTCGCCTTGCCAAAGGATCTCAAAGTGTTTTATACGCGACATTGATTTTTGCACTGTAGTATGGTTCAGGGCCTCATTACATTTGAACTGTAAAGACCAAGAGTGAGAGCGGCAAAATGTTTTGCCTAAGGTCAGGCAGCAGTACAATGGCCAAAAATAGAATACAAATTTCCCGCGTGCCCAGTCCAGTGAACGAGATTCTGTTGCTTCTCACTAAGTAAATTTTCCCATGCCTCTGTGATGCAGTCACATATTATCCATCCTACTGCAGGGACAGAGAAACTAAGGTACAGAGAAATGAAGGGACTTATCCAGTGTCAAAGGCCAAGGTTATGGCAAGGACAGGGCATGCACTTATATCTTGATGCCCACTCCTGTGTAACCATAACATAATGTTTTGAACAAACTGGGGAAGCAGCTTTACAACATCTACTGTTATAGAAAAGAGTAAAACAAATGTGGATGTTTTTTCCCTGATAACCCTGAAGTTGGAAATAGACAGACTAGAAGGAAGCAAAATCACTTCTAAGCCATGTCAAGGGTTTTTGCTAACTAGGCAGCATCTCTAGCAGTGAGTTCTTTTACTTTTGGGGTGATATAAAAATAAAATGCAATAGGGGAAAGCTCTCAAGAAATCTGTATGAATAAATTGTCCAAACATTTTTATAACCTGAAGTTTAAAAACCTTCCCATTGAGGCACCGTTTAGGAGGAAAAGTGACTTACGATTTCATAGCTATAGAGCAAGATTTTCTGAAATTGCCATGATATGAGAAAATGTCTTTTAAAGTGGCTCCCAGATGGTGGGGGGGAAATCATACTACTTGAATTCTGCTCAGATAAATTGAAGCTAAAGGGAGTTTAAACGTTTTATAGGTTCTCCCTCTCACCACCTGCTACTGAACTGACACAAGAGGAGTCATCAAAGACAGCTAGCATGATCCTTATGGTGTACTGCCTGAAAAGAGGTTTGGGAAAGAAGCTTATTTGAAACCGAGTATCAGATAGCAATTAACCCTGAAAAATCCCAATCCTTGACCAGATACAGTTTACATTCTATGTTAACTTGAAGGCAAAGGCTGCTGTGTCTTACTGAGGATGGAGAGCGGGTGCCAAGATTTCTTTAGCTGTGCCATGCGGAATACCCTAGTGGTGCTTTTTCTGAGTCTAGGGGCACTTGTACACATGGTGGTCATCATGAGGTACACGTGATGAAAATGTAATTTGTATGGCTTAATGGCATCACACATTACATGTGCACCAGTTTGGGGAGTTTTAAATGAGTTTGCATTGTTACAAACTAAACTATATGTGGATGCAGGTGAATTTGCAATGTTGCAAAATGTAACAATACAGCTTTCAGCTTCTCAGCCACAGGAGAGGTGGGCAGGCTCTGCAGGAAAAATGGATCAAGCCCCTCATTGCTTCTGCCTTCAGCAGGCACCTGCCTGAAGGCAGAAGTGCTGAGGGACCCAATTCTTTTTTTGCAGAGCCTGCCTGCCTCTCCACAGCCACGGGGTGAGCTGCTGGGGTGCTGAGCAGCCCCTGAACTGTGGGAGGCCCTGGTCCTTCCCTCCGCAGTGGTGGGGCCACCCAGGTGGGCTGCTAGTGGGTTGGGGGCTGCCCCAGCTTGGAGGCAGCACCCGGCTGGTTCCAACTCTTCCTTGAGCCTGCCAGGGCTTCCAGCACCTATGCACTGTCCCCACTGCCTTCCCACTGCCTGGGATCACCCAGGAATGGGCTGGTTTGCTCCTGGAGCAGCACAAGGAAGAAGCAGGAGAGAAGCTGGGTGTGCTGGTGGCTGGAGAAGGTAGTGAGCATGCTGGAAGTCCAGGAAGGCTCAGTGAAGCTTGGGCTTGGTGGGCTTCCAGGGCCCCATTCACCATCCCTGTCGCCTTCTCTGGCCGCCAGCATACCCAGCTGTATGCAGGCTCTACAAAAAAAAAAAAAAAATCAGGCTTCTCACTGCTTCTACCTTCAGCCTGGTGCCTGCTGAAGGCAACAAGGGGCCAGATCCCTTTTTTTTTTCCAGCAGAGACATCCCACAGCCAGGGGGCAAATTGCTGGTGGGCTGAGTGGTCCCTAAGCTGCAGGGGGCCCTGGTTCTTCCCTCTGCAGTGGCGGTGCCTTCCAGGGCTGCCTGAGTGGGTGGCTAGTGGGCCAGAAGCTGCCCCAGCTCAGAGGCAACACCTGGCCCAATCCAAATCTTCCCTGAGCCTGCCCGTTGTCGTAACATGATGGAAAAATTGAAACAGTGGGTCTCAGTGGGTTTTTAATTGAGACCCACTGTTTCAATTTAGGGGGCATAAAATAAAACTTTAGGTATTATAAAACCCCCATCACATGTACAAGTGCCCTGGCATAATAATTACAAGAGTAATGTAAGTCTCTTGTCTTCACACCTATGGGGATTAAACATTTTGTCTTGGCATCCACTCTGAGAAACTCAGAAGACTACACTGTGAATCTGAACAAATAATGGAAAGGGGGGTTCATTTGAATTTGCATTTTTATTCAGCCATGTCCCTTCTGTGTTTTTCATTAATACTTCAGGGTTCATATATATTGTTCAATATCAGATTCAATAATACAAAGAGTTCTGTACTAATTATACTATTCAATTTCATGCTTAATTACAGCAGTGCTCCCTTTTAGACTGCCTGAAACTGATGAAAAATTCTACCTGGGTTGTGCAAATATGAAGCAACCTCACCCCAGAATTAGAATCAGTCTTGTCATAGACATGAGGCCTTCAACTTAGTAAATGTCTTGCAGCAATGGTCCTAAGATTTGTATCTGTTAGGAGATGAACGTCATGGAGATCCAGAACTTCATTACAAACCTGTTGCCTTAGAGTTACTTAAATGCTATGGCTAAACCCAAATAAAATATACAAATGTGGCTTTACATTGACGTATGTAGCATGGGCTAAATCTGAGCATGGAAAGCAGAAGGCTCAGCCTTTGGGGCGAATTCTGATGTGGATGCAAAGTCTGACCCTCCAGACATGAATATGAGGGTTCTGCTAATGGTATTATGGCAGATCTATGTTTAAGAAAGATTGAAATAAGAAGTGGAGCTATGTGTGAAACATAGCTGCTCAGCTCCTCTACTTTTATAAGAGAAGGGAACATTGTTTTCTCCCTACAGCCTTTGTTTCTCCTCACCTTCCCAAAGGTTGTAACTCTGTCCCTGCCTAAAGAAGAAACAGTTTTTTGGTTAAGTTAGTACATTTACTAGGCCTGTGCAAAGCGGCTAGTATTCACTTCAGATTTGGCCGATTAGGGGGACAGTGATTAGATTCAGTGATTCGAATCACTGTCTCAAATCAACTTGGCAAAATCTGATTTGGAGATTTGGCTGCTGCCAAATCTCAGAATCTCAGAATCAGCCAGGCCCATCCTCCACCACACTGGCAATGGCTACGCCACCCACCCCAGCTCCCAACACTTGTTTAAAAAAAAGCCCTGATTCAGCAGGTGCTGCCGGGCAGGGGGGGACAATCCCTGCCGCCCCCCACTACCGCATGCTGCGTTGGGGGGCTCTGCCACAAGCCCATGCCAGCCCCTCCCTCTGGCTGCCCCACCTGCCGTGGCTCTGGCCCTTTAAGAAAAAAAAAAAAACCTGAAAAACCCCTGCACTCAATGTTCCTGCTGGCGGTGGGCAATCCCCACTGCCCCCCACCATGTGGGAGGCTCTGCACAAGCCCCCCAAAGCCCCAGGGCCACTGCAGGAGCAGTGAGTCCCAGGGCTTTTCTCCATGTTTTTTTTTCTTAAGCGGCTGGAGCTGGCCTGGGTGGGACACCCATGGGGGGGGCTGGAGGAGCAAGGGGAGGGGTTGTGGGGCTCATACAGAACCCCCCATGCAGCATGGGGCAGTGAGGGGCAGCAGGGATCACCTCTGCCCCCCACTCAGCAGCACCTGGTGAGTCAGGGATTATTTTTTAAATGCCAGGAGCTGGGGCAGGCGTGGCAGCCATGGGGAGGGGCTGGGAGAGTGGATGAGGGTCAGAGGGGGGCTGGGGGAGTAGCCACAGGTTGAGGGCTGGCAGGGGTCCCCTCCATGGTCACCTCCCCTATCTCCCCCTCCACCACCCCCTTACTTACCAGCTTGGAGTCAGCTGCAGCTCCCTGCTTTTCTGAAGATTCAGAGAGTTTTGAATTGATTTGGACCTTTTAATTGGTCCCCTGATTCAGTTCAGATTTGGAGATTCAGCCACTGAATCAGGCTGATTCTCCTCTGAATCAAATCACCACCCAAAGCTTTGCACAACCCTAATGATCATGTTGGTTGTAGCAGTAACTGGAAGTCACTGCTGCCCCACTGCTGACACCAAGGGTTGTCCAACCCACTACTCCCTGCTTGTGATGATTTCCATAGTGCCCCAGGCACAG